TGAGAATGCTGGACAGTCCATACGGGTAATATCCTCCGATTGAAGGCATTCGCTTACGATGTTTGCACGATGAGTACGGGCGTTGTCATCTATAAATACAAATTGTGCTCCCATGGCGCCCCGAAACAAACATACATGTTGTTCAGAATGACGTCCCGATACATTTGGCTTGTCATAGTTCCAATTTGAACATGCAGGTCAGTTCTGGAACCCAGAGTAATTCCACTCCAAACGAGCACTCCTGCACCCCCGTAACGGTGTCGTTCAATGATGTTTTCTTGGTGGTAACAGGTACCTGGAGCCCTGAACAAGTGCCCTGAACCATATGCCCTGAACAAGAGGTCAGCTTGTCTCAGGAGCTCCAGTGTTTAGTCTCCAAGCAACTTGGTACTCATTTTATCGACTCAAGTGATGGAAATCAAGGGATGAAAGGCTGAGTTTACCTTGCCCAGCCCGGGAATCGAAACCCGGACCTGTGGTGCTGCTGCGCGATGTGCTAGCCATTGCTAGCACATCGCGCCTTAATTTTAAAAGGAACTGCGAAGTCTTAGTCGTCGTTGGAATGTGTGACAGCGATAAACTACATCAGCATTACTGATGGAGCATTTTCGAGAGTAGAACATAATAACAGTTATGAATAGCTTCACACTTCTATTTGTTCAAAAATTTCTGATACGCGGACTGGGGCACAAGCGGATAGCTATTTTTCTATATCCTGTAACTAATTTCTCAAAACCGAAAAAAGTAAAAGTAAATTGGATCGTATTTTGAAAACACTACTCAAAAACTGTCTGCCTGTGGGAAGGTTTCTCTAAAGGAAATGGATTCATATTCATGCTACTTCTTTCAAAAAAAAATTCGAGAACCTAGGGAGAATGCCATTTTGAAATAAGACAATAACCAGTCAAAAGTTGCAGAAAATTAATAACTTACTTTCTTAGATCAACTTACTAAGTCTTATACCATTGCGAATAATATGATTACGCTAAGCTTCAGCAGATCATTTATTGCTCGAGAGAAGCCTCTTGGTTATGTTTATTGTTTCCAGACTGCAAATTTTGTATCGTAAAAAATCTGATCTGTAACGCCACAAGACTTCCTTGTACGGACTATTGAATTTTACGCAATTTTTTCGGGTAGTTCATTTAAACTTATTTCCTCGAATTTCATTAGAGATATATTTCTCATTCAATTAATTCAGTTCTCATTTCGTGGCAAGGCAAAAATATATAAAAACTCAAAATATCTTCATTAAAAATGGAAAGATATAGAAAAACATAAAACACCAAATACAGTTAAAACAATTTTAAAAAAAACAATTTTTACAAATAAAATTAGTGTTTGGACGCAAAACAAAAAATTCGGCCAGCAGGCAGCAAGGGAGATATTTCGGTGCAGAAAACTAAAAGTTTCGTTTTCGTCCCACTCTGCAAAAAGACACTGAAGGTGCAGAAACTGACTTCATTCACTATTACGCTAAGTTTCAAATATAAACAAATATGGCTGATATGATAAAACTAATTAGGCTTAGCTGCACTTAATGAACTTTTAAACTTTTGATAATTCTACAACTATTACATGCATATTAATTAAAGGCATAAAAACCTTATCCGGAATATAAGAACAAGATAATTCAATCATTTTGAAAGTACAAAATGCACAGTTTACCAACATATAAAAATTAAAAATCGGAAGTCATTCAGCCGAGCAACAGAGTAAGAGTATATATATATATATACTTTTGGTGTGGCCGATTGCAACCAAAAAGGGAGGTGCACAACTACATGTTATAGCAATCGTATATACAAAATTTCAATGTTCTGAGGGGGCTCATTTTTGAGTTATGCGAGATCCGTGCATACATACGTATGCATGTATGCACATACGTACAGACGCCACGAAAAAATCTCTTTTAAATCCATTTTAAATCAGTTTTATAATTCGTTTAGGGGAAGAAAGTCCTTTACTCTATCCTTACGTATTTATGTCACACAAAAACATAGTTAAATTGCATTCCAGAGCGGTCAAAATGGATAGTTTTTTGAAATATGAAACCCACAATTTTTCGTGATTACAATACTTCCTTTAGTTCGTACAAGGAAGTAAAAATCTAAAATACTGTTTTGAAGTAAAAATCGGAAATACTGTTACTTGACGGAAATATTTGTTGCACGTCTGGCTTGAAAACGATTCAACACAAATACAACAAATAAATCTTTAATCAAATCTTTTCCTCGTAAAATCAGTGCACAAGTTTCCACGTTGCATTAATTTATGATGCAATAGCAAATTTTTCCTTTATCATGTGGGTTTGCAATTTAAAAAGTTTATATTATATAGAAGATTATAATCTATAATCTTAATTCCTGGAGGCTTAATATTAAATTAATATGCTTATTGTACCGACTTACCTTAAAACTCTATCTGGTGGTAAACTGAAATTTCCATACCAAAATCATATTGCAATTTCTGTTAATAAGTGGTGCGAAACTATTCACATTTTGCGCTATAATTTAAAGTTTTAAGATTGCACTCTTTTTTTAAGAAATTGTATGTGTCTGAAGAATTATTAAACAGTAAAGAAAGAAATTAAGTTGTCATTATTTTAACAGGCCTTAATATGAAAATTAGGATTTAGCAACCCTTTGGGAATTAAAAACAAGAATATACAATGCATATTTAAACAAAATACAAAAACAAGATGATAAATAAAAATTATGTAATATGATGAATGATAACCATGTACATGATAAATTAAAGCAGTTAAAGATAATATTGCAAAAATAATTTTCATTCATATTTTTATACAACGAGAATTTTATTAAAATATGGAAAAATTAGCTAACATTTGTACTCATATCAAACATTATTAATAAATGTTTACATTAGAATAATTTATTTCAAACAAAGCACACTAGGGCTATTTGCATAAGCGCAAGAGCAGATTTCATCTAATGTTCCCAGACAGATAAAATACGAAGGTATAGCATTGTTATCCAATACCAACAATCTCTCGAAAGACTTTCAGTTGGACGATTTTTATGTTCCCCCTTACTGCGAAGACACTAAAATCACAAATTCACTAGTCTTATCCGGATTCAAACCCAGATCGAACAGCATAGAAATCAGTCAGCTTGTATTAATTTCTAAACAGTACCATAAGAATAAAAAAATAAGAAATTCGTTAAAAATTTACAAAATATGAAATAGAAAATGAAACAAATTCGAATCACTATCAACGGCTCCTCGAAAATCTTTCAACTGGACGATTTTTAGGAGCCCCCATACCTCAAAGGCACTAAAATTACAAATTCATAAGCCTTGTCAGGGATTCAAACCTGAATCGAACAGCATAGAAATCAGTCAGGATGAACTAATCTCTAAACAGTTCCTTAAGAATAAAAAAAAATAAAAAATTCCTTAAACTTTTACAAAATATGATGAAATAGGGAATAAATAAAAATTCGAATCACAATCACAGTTTCTTAATAAAAAATTCGTAATAGTTTACAAAATGTGAAATAGATAATAAAACAAATTCAAAACTCAAAATTCGGGCTTTCAGGTGCTCATGTTCGGGTACAGAACTACGTTATTCAAAATTGGATGGCTCTAGGTCCTGTCATCTTTTAACAATGCGAACAACATGTATAGATTCATGAAGATTCTGCATTATACCATTTCTTTAAATATAATACAGGGCGATGATATTTAGTGGCAGCAATTTGAAAAGTGATTCAGACTTTTAGAGTGAGTCAACTCAAAATGTCGTTTTGAGAACAATAGCCCTTCTGGGCTAGAGCTCCTTTGGGCTAATAAAGAAAAGGATTTTATATGAGTTATTTTCTGATGATATTTCAATTAAGTTTTAGAATCTGAATGCCCGAGTCGATATATTTTAAGGTTCTATTTCTCTAAATTTTCGAAGTTCCAGTTCTCTAAATCAAATATTATTTTTTTTTAAGTTTAGAATTATCAGAATTATAGAAATAAAATTTAGAATTATCAAAATCCGAATCAGTTTCCCTCTGAATTTAAGAATGAGAGTTTTTTTTTTTTTTTTTTTTTTTTTTTTTTTTTTTGTTTTTTGTAAACTAAAACTGTATTTCAGGGTTAAAGATTTAAGGATATGAATTTAATGTATAAATTCATGGAACTTTAAATTTAAATCCTTTGAATTTTATCTTGCAGGTTTAAAAGTTATTTGAAAATTGAAATTACGTTATAAGGAATTTCTGCCGCCTTTTTTTACACGCCTTCGTGGTGTAGTGGTCAGCATACTCGGCGTGTATACGAGAAGTTCCAGTCCCGGCGATAGCATTGCTCATTTTTCTTGTCTCCTGATTTGAAATAGCCTAACGGCTCTACAACGTAAACACTGGAAATTTCAAATTTCAGTTCCTAAAATTTTTATTATTGTAAAAGAATTATTTTTCGTAGCAACGAAACCAACCTGAGGTATACTTTTTAAACACCTAAGTAAAAATACATTTTTATATATTTCTGATAAAGAGATAAGGAAAAAGCAGGAATTCAAAACAAAAAAATGCAAGAATGTCAGAGAAATACAAGAAAGTTTGAAAAATGCTAGAAAGTCAACTGAATCAAGAAAATGCAAGAAAGCGTTCAAATAAAAAAAAAAAAAAAAAGTGCATGAAAGTCAATTGAATCAAGAAAAAGCAAGAAAGTTAGAGTTAAAAAAGAAACAAACAGAAAAAAGAAAAAAAAAAATTCTATTGAATCAAAAGTTGTAAGTCGGGCAAATTAAAAAAAAAAAAAAAAAAATGCAAGAAAGTTATCTTTCTTTATCAAGTAATTAATATCATTATTCTAATGAAGTTCTATAATAATTCTATCTTAGACGAAAGTGAATATGATGTTAAAATTAGCGTCAATAATAAGTACTATTTTCTATCATCATTTGCTCTTGTTTCTACAACTATTAAATTCCTGTTGTCTTATTACGTTGCATATTTTAATTTTAAATATTTTATACTCACTTTTTCCCATGTTGTTCTTTCCAACAAAATCAGAAAAACTATACATTAAAAAGAAAATTAATCTAATTTATTCAACTGGCTTCTAACAGACAGCATAAATAGCAGATAACATTTCAGTTTTACGTGTACTGCAGCACATGGTAGGTTCCTTAACAGCTACGATGCTGATAACAGTTGGTATCGATAAAGTAAATAACAACAATCGCAATGGATTATTCGAGACAAAAACTGCTGCTGGTTCAAGGGCAGTATTTCACTAGACATAAAATATCGTCATAGCAGGAATCGATGCGTTGTAAGATCATTTTATCAGATATATCAAAGTACATTATTGATGCTAAATATTAAAGTCAAAATTATTGTTATCAATAACAAAATTAAACTTTAGCATTTTTCTGGAAAAAGATAATTCATAACATTTCTGCAAAATACATAACATTAAAAAAAAGTAAATGTGTATCGAGTATTTTTATTTTTTCGCATTAAAGGTATGTTTAGTAATTTACTTTTTCTCTTGGGGTTTCTAGACAAAATTATGTAATTAATTTATCATCAAAATATCTCTACATATAATAAAAGAAAGAGTCTGACTGTGTGTCAGTGTGTGTGTGTCTTTCGTTCGCGCTGCGCGTGAGCTAATAGACCCACGGCTACGAAATTTGGTACATATGGTGCGTCTAGACAAGAGCCAGTGCACCTCGAAGCGATTTTTTCGAAATTCGAATTTGAATTTTTTTTATTTCATGTTTTGTTACGAAATCGCGTCATTATAAAACATAATGGGCTATAGGAAAGCGAGATTTTACTCTACACACTCCATTTTCACATCGTCATGAAACGTAGGCACTTAGCTATTTTACGAACTTAAAATAAATTTCGTGTTTCAATAAATCGATTAAATACGAATTTATTTAACAAAGTGAGCTTAACACCTTTTTAACGGGATTTTTTCTAAAACAGTTTATTTTTAAAAACGTACACTTTATTTTTCTTTAATTTTTTGGACACGTTAAACTTTCCTCCTTGCGACTGCTTTTACAAAAAGAATTTTGGAAAAATGATAATATTTTGTATTTTGAAAACTTTTTTCAAATGAAGCTTCCGAGTACACTTCTCACATCTCACATCTTTAAAAATGTGATTTTGGCAACAATTTTCCTATATTATTGTTGTTGATAGATTTTTGATGAAATCGCATCATTTTCAATAGTTTCTTTCTTTTAGAAATATGGGTTTGGCAACGATTTTTCATCGTATTTCTTATGTCACTGTTTCTAAGAGATTCGCATATTTCAATATCATGTTTTTATATATATAATACATTTTTATTGATTTTTTTTTTTTTTTTTTTTTTTTTTTTTTTTGATAAAGTTGTTCTGCAGTGTTTTGTTTTTTGAGTTTCTTTCATGTTATTTTTTGCTTATTTCACTATTTGTAAGATATTGAAAAGTTTCGCATGTTTTTTTCCTTCAACGGAAAGTTGGATCAAGTTCCTTCAACGGATTAGGATAATTAATATTTATATTATGGGATATAGCTTATTTCATTGTAATTTTTTTCTCTTGAAAATTTAAGGTAAAATATCATTAATTATACTTTTCTTTTCAGTTTTTTTTTTTTTTTAATATTCTTTTATGTTATTTATTGGCCATTTCACTGTCTTTAAGATATTGAAAAGTTTTGAGTGATTTGTTTAGGAAACAAAGTTCTTCTTTAGACCATTTGAGTTTTTAAGATTTTGCAAAGGGAAATTGGTTAATTTATTTATTAAGATAATTAATATTTGTATTAAGGGATATTGCTTATTTCATTACAATTTTGTTATACGTAATAACTTTTTTACGAAGTTGTTCTGCAGAGTAAAATTCTAAGCTGTTTTTAAATTTAATGTTTGGTGTTCCCTTCAGCCATTTTTCCGGTACATTTAAAGACCAGACGAAGGCTGGCAGCGAAGCTGCTAGTATAAAATATGTAAGATCTTTTTCCACCAATTAAAGCTTCCCAGTGAAAGATGTTCAGAATTCCTAGTCAACTCTCATGTATTTTTTTTTCTAATAATTTTGCTATATAAAAATACTAAATGCAAACCAAAAACCGCTTTAGGATATACAATTACATATACAGGACATTAGTTATTTTGTCGTGCGGAAGGAGGGGGGGAGAAAGACCAAATCAAAATGATACCAAAATATACAGAGGCTGTTTTCATATTTTTTGACGACTTTCATTTACATAAATATTTTACCTAAAGTTTTGTGTTTTTAATATTCTATTTGATAATCCTAATACTTCGTTATCTTTCTACACCGTAATTTTCAAGACAATAAAGCTTTTTTTTTTTAGTTGCGAAAGAGACATTTTATCCCATCTCCCTTGAAATCCATCTCCCGTTTGCATATAAGCATTCTGTACCGCGCCACACGCATAGGGAAAAATCCGTCCCTGTGATTGGATACGGCTTCCGATGACATCATTTCTTTACTTGGGCTCGTAAATACACCTCCATACCGTTTATTTACATTTTGATAGCAGTACCGAAAATATTATTAAAGTTAATGATGTGCGCTGAATTTTCGTTGCGGATGACTCTTATTACGGCACTATAGCATGATGAATTTAATATAAATAATGTAGTGCTTTTTTTCATAGAGACAAAAATCAGTATTTCTTCTAGTGCGCTAACTCCGTAAATGTGCAAATGTGTATTAATATTATATTCAGAGGTTTTCAATAAATGTATTCTTAATTTAAAAGACTTCATATTAAAGGTTTTGTGAATATTAATTCATTGTTTCATGTTCATTAAATATAGATACTTTACAGATGCAATCTCCGAAAACAGGAGACAAGTCAGTTTTCGCAAACAACAAAACGTTGGGAGCTAACATAATACACAGTAAATTCAGGATATTTGTAGTCAGTCAGAAAATGTAAAATTTATTTTTGAAGTTAGACTGCTATAGATTTGGAACACGGAAATAGAGATAACTATGTATAAATTGAATATTTCCCATAAATATGTGCTTTATGAATATTGCCCATTTTTTAATGTGTAATGTCTTTTGTACCTTTGTATAAAAATTGTGCTTATCAGAGAAGAAAGTTTCTTATGCACGTGTATTCAGCTTATATATGGAATGCGCTTTTTTCTTTCATCTAAGGCAATAGAATATTAGAAGTGTGAAGGACATGGACATTAACATGGAAATAACGTATACAGTTGCAAAAGAAATATTTTCTGCAATGTGAAAAGGAACAGAATTCAACAAAATTTCAATAATAATTTACTTACTAACACATATGCCTTTATATTTGAGTCGAGATCGTCGTGTAATCTAATGCGTTTTGTTTATTGCACTAAATTTATGAACTCAGTTATTTATATACTAGAATGCCCGGAGGTCATACGAAATGACCGCTGTTATAGATATTATATATTGTAATTAAAATGATTTATGCAAAGGTGTCTGCTAGTTTAAACTGAATTACCTAGGGCAGGCGGCGAGGACGCCCCTTTACTTACTACCCCAAGGGGTTTCCCCCTTCTACTTGCTTAATTGCTTAAAGTAGAGTGCAATGAAGGAAACCACTGGCGGTATATTTCTTAAGAGTCACCGCTAGCTCAATCAATAAAGGTGATTTAAATAATTAAATGTTAATTCGCATGTCAAGGATCTCTTTGCACACAACAATTCTTGTGTAGATCTTTCCATCATTTTTAAGCTCGCCTTGCAGAGAACCATCTATTATTTTTAATTTTACATCCGTTCTTTCACGAACTTTTGAACAAACAACATAAAGTTGACCGTGTCCAAATGCAGGCTCAGGTAAAAAAAATGCCAACACGCTTAAGCGTTTGGCCCTGAGACTTATGGATGGTCATAGCTAAAGCAAGTTTTACAGGAAATTGTCTACGTCTCAATTGAAACGGCAACCCTGTGCCGTGGCAACGTCACCCGATTGGCTAGTACAGTTATGCAAGCAATCAATAAACTATCGGTGACAAACAGACACTTAAACCGCGTACATATATATGGGGTGAAGTAGCATCATCTCCTCCGAAACGGCTGGCTCCCGGGCTTAAAGAAGCACACCGTTGGATTCCGCAGGTTCGTGGCACGCCATTTTGACCATTCGCGTCTTCTTGGGACTTTACGTAGCCGAGATATTAATTAAAAACTTATTTTCCCCTACGTTTTCCCTACATTTTCCACTTTCTTTCTTGGGTTTTCCTATTAGAGGGATTTGGATACGTGCCAAATCCTTTTTTCTCGAATATCTACGGAACAGAGCCGAGCTGAAATTCGAGACGCGTATCCTCGGATTTCAAAACATTTTCCGAATCTATCGATACAGTTCTCATCTTCGTAAGACTTTAATCGGCCGAGATATTAATTAAAAACCGCGGAAACGTTAATTTTCGCGCTCATTTTTCCGAGTGGCAACAATAAACTGTCGGCGACACACACTTTAGCCGCTTATATAATATAAAGAATCTAAGCATTTGAGACTGCTTCTGATATATTAACAGCATCTTTGAAGGATTTTCATAATTTTATTATTCCATAAATATGATGCTATCTGCAGAAGGCTCATGTCAGTTTTTACGTCTGGCATTATTATTCAAAGAATGCAAATGATAATGTTCATGCTTCCGTATCACTCATGTGCGTCATTCAGCAAAACCAAAACTGTAAGAATTCCGCCTACAAGTCGTAAAACCAAGTGAAAATGATGTCATCGGAAAGTATGTCCAATCACAAGTACGGATTTTTTCCTATGCGCGTGGCGCGGTACAGAATGCTTATATGCCTCCCGTCTTTTGTACAATCGGCTTTTCAAAAGTCCAAAAGCGCAAGGACTTTTTAGTACTTATCAGAACGTTTTAGTAGGGATATGAGTGAAGTGTATGGCCTCGATACCTGTTTCTTATTTCCATGTTTTTCAGGGAATTAACAGTGGATTTTTGACTTACGGCTGCTTCTTGGTCTTGATGCATTTCTACTATGCGTAAAGAGAAAGTATTTTATATTTGAAAATTGGCTATAGAATATGTTTCTGATAACATGCAGAGTTGATCTTAGCAGTTTTCTGCACTGTCTTTAATTTTTGTTTGTCGTTATATATCAAAAAC